AATAGGACAGCAATGAAAGCCATCTCAGAATGGAAACTGCCACCCACTGTAAACGTTATCCTAGGAAAACTCCTATTACACTTTATCAGTCAGAGCAAAACTAAATAAAATATAAAATGAGAGCTTATATAACTGCATAGTCATGATGCTTGTAATTTTTTGCTAGTATTTGAAACTTCTGTACCAGAAAATACCTTGTCCACTGTGTGTTTACACATCGTGCCTAATGAAGTTATAGCTGCTGCTTATGACAAGGTCAGATAATTCAGGGAGGGAGAGATACGAACTCAGTAAACCCTAATGCATTTCCATCCCCAAACCCACACCCTGTTCATCTGGCCTGCTGAGACAACTGTGATCTTTAGTAGGAACAGGGCAAGGCCTTTTGAACCAGCAATTCTGCTGTTAGTCCCAGCCTGACCTGATAATATCATATGCTTCCACTAAGTTCTGCTTACTTTATGCCACCAAGGAACCTAAGAATACAGTCACTGAATAACTAAGTACACGAATGATATTTGTGACAGTAGTTACTGGCTTTACTTTATGTTTAGGCCAGGTCCTTACATTCCCCTGGGACAGCAGCATGCCAGCTGCATGAAGGAACCTGCAGGATGCCCATAACCAAATTACAAAGTGCAAAAATCAGCGTGGTGTTACAGCTAGACAAAATGAATAATGTAATATCCAGACATCTCTAAAGCCATGTGTTTGCTCTGGGATGTGTACCTATCTTGGGAAAGGGCACAACTCCAGTCTTACTTGTTGCACAAACTTCTGCCTAAAAGAAGGTGGTTCCTAGAGGTGGTTCTGCAGTCTGGTGTCACTGGACCTGCTTGTTTTTAACTCGGCACTTCAGGTTCTCTAAAAATAACCTTCCGTCACAGTCATTTAGTCAGTAGTAATTCTATCTGCCTGCTGGGAAACATCCTTTTAACTCAATCTTAGCTTAACTGGGGGTCTGCAAGGTAGATGATAACTTCAAATCATGTCAATTACTCCAAAGCCAGTTAACGTAGGAACATGATCACAGGAAACACACGATGTTTGTTTCCTCTCATTGCAAAACATTAGCCACAGTGTTGATTATTTTTCTCCTCCATCAGTCCAAAAGAAGAGGAATTTACTGCAGACCTGCATTGGCCCAAGATCCCAGTTGCCAAAGTAAAAACAAACAGATTCATCTTACTTTAAGAATATTTATGCCCCTTCTTTTTTCTTAATAAATCCTCTAGGGAAAAGAATGAGAACATGGAAGAAAAATCTTTGCCTTTATCTAAAAACAGAAGCTGAAAGGGAATTTTCCTTACTTGCTGAGAGGGGATCAGGAACAGGCCAAGCTGGGCTAAAGTAACTGGGATTGCTCTTCATGGAGCACTTTGCTGCATCAACAGCGGCGCCAAACCTGGCCTGTGTCTCCCAGGCCTGTGTCAGTGCCCAGGGCTTTCCAGAGAGGCTTCTGCTGCACGAGCTGATCTCTGTAAAAGAGCTGCAGTACTCTGTCCCTTCTCAGGAACAAAATTCGACCAGGACACAATGTGAAGTCCTTCTAGCCTAGCCCCTTTACAACTTCTTTCCCACAGATTTGGTATTCACCAGGTTATTTCTCTGAGATCTCTTTGGAGAAGGTCAGCACGCAGCCCCTCTCACTCGACGTGTTGGGATGCAGGTTGTGACAGCCCTCAAGTCCCTGCTCGGCTGGGTACCGGCGTGAACAGCAACGTGTGTTCACCAGCGTGGGTTATGTTAGCTCTGTGAAAAGCTGCTTTCCAGCAGCTGCGCACAGCTTTGGCATGTATCCTGAGCTCCGAGTAACGAAACTTTGTTCAGCTTCAGTGGGAGCTATATCTCTGCTTACAAGCCTGTCATATCCAACTCAGTCTAATAAATATTAATGGTTTTCCTTCTTTCTTACACATAGCTGTCCCTGGACCTCTATCACACCGAGGATGACATCTACAAGCTCTCACTGGTGCTGGAACCAAGGAACTCCAAATCTGTAGGTCATATTTTACTGCATTTTGTCATATTGCTTATTTTGTCTGCATGCAGTTGATTAAATTTTTAAATGACAGTTAATGTGTTTCCTTATTTGTAGTCACATAAAGCTTTTCAGTGTTATGCTTGTATAGTAAACACAGTCACTATTTATAGGTTTTAGTGCATATTGGGAGAAGTAAATAGTGGAACACGCCAGGCTTCATTATTCATTGTTTTTCAACAAAACCTCTGCAAGTCCTGGAAAACATAGTTCTGCCTTATGTGAAGATATCCTGTGTAAGTTTGCATCAATTATTTATTGTGTGACCATTACTTCATTTTCTGGATGCTGGCGTAGTTATATAAAACAACACTGAATCTGAAGATTTGTTTTAGGTAAGGCACAGCATTAGCTGTAGTGTTTTAAAAACTGTTTGCTTATGTAGAATTGGCTGTATCTTGGGCTCTCAAACAATGTTTAAACACCTCAGAATTGATAGTACTTTTTCTTAGTATGTGCAACTAAAGATAATGCTGCATTGATGCATTTTTCATTATGCTTTGCAAGTCTGAGGATACAGATAATTTTTATAATTAATAGTTGAATTTCATTTAAACTGTTGCCAAAGTTTGGGGATTCCTCTGCCCTCTGAGCATTTCATCAGTGTATTAACATCCTTATTTCCTATCGTATCCAGCACGTGATGCTCTCATGCTGACCCCTCTCAAGTCCAGCACCAGCAGAAACTAAGGGTGGCTGGCAATGCTTAGCAGGGCTTGAGAGCGGAGTCCACTAATCCAAGGTGATTCATTGCAATGCTTTTTATGTTTCTGAAGCATTCTTAAAAGCAAGCAAGGAAGCAGAACTCCTTAATTTCCAAGCGTAGGGCTTCTCTGGGTTTTAAGATAGTTTATCACTCTTGGAGACCAGTTTGAGGACTATGTGTTTGTGCTTTCAATGGTGGATGATGAGTAATAGTAAGGCAGCTATTGAACATGTCCATACTCAACACTAACTCAGTCTGAACACCTGGAATTTCACTGCTGAGTCTCCAGTCCTTGTTGGATATGAGTTAGCTACAACAGTTCCCATTTATTGCAGTCATTCTGGCTTCCCATTACTGTCAGCAAAGTTGAATTCTTACAGCTCCATGCTGTGGAAGGACTAATGGGCCACTGCTATAAATGAAGAAAATTATCATGTTGCTGCTTTGATCTCCAGCCTGAGCTTTAAGAAGGACAAAAGCAATATAAACAGCGCTGTGAACTTTAACAGTATCCAGCAATTGTGGGAGACTTCTGCATAACGATCAATGAGTAACCAGTGACATTGAGCTGTTGCAGCACCCTGATGGGTAAAAAGCTACAGCTGAATCGACAGAAGCCGGACTATTTGAAGCATACTTCTCTTTGATGGAATGCCAAAGCACACAAGCTATATTAGAGGGGAAAGAATCTGTAGAGCTTTTGTATGTGGAAAAATTTGTCAAAGGCAACGTGACAGTGTAGTTACATCATTCCAACTGCTCCTTGATTTATTCTTGTACGGGTACAACTCCCGTGCAGGTGCGCTGCAGAGGAAGTGCCTCGTGCTGCTGCAGTTGTTTTCGAGGGAAAAGTGGAGCTGATCTGTTAGCGTACGAGCCTGCTGTCAACAGGGACTTGAGCAAGATTTTCATTCTGCTAAAACTGGGAGGAGACTCTTCAGTCAGCGTAGCAGCCTACAAACATACTCAAGACTGACCACCAGTTGTAGCATAGCATCTCCCTGTCACACCGTCCTGCTTTTCCCTGCAGTTATCTTCTTGTCAGGAATTTTTACTAGTACAGCTATTGGCTAGAAGACAGTTCTGCCTGGTGCAGTTAACCCACTGAAGATTTTTTTTAAGAGAAGGCACATTTCAAATTTCTTCTCTGACCATACCTGTAAGAATATCATAATACCAGCATGTTACATGTTATCATATAACATATAATCTTTAAAAGATTGCATTTCTGCATATTTTTAGAGCAAAACCACTCACCAGCATGTTGGTCCATCACTGTGTGGTGGCATTAATTTTAGGATTAAAACATTCTGTAGGTACTTTTGGCATATAGAGCTGGATCTCTAGGCTCACTGTATTTCTTGTTGAAATTGAATTCTGTGGATATAGGGACTTTTTCTTCCCAAACTTACTCATGCAGATTTGTATGATTAGTCAAGAGCCATTGAGGAACTGATAAAAGCTGTTCAGACAATTGTATAAGGAGAAGCCAAATTAACAAAGCAACCTACTAACACACCCTCCTTTTTTTTTTTTCCTACCAAACACAGTAGAGTATGACCTTGTGACCATTTTTCATCTCTGTGTCAAAGTCTATAATACCTTTGTTATACACAATAATAACTGTAACACTTTTACATGGCTTAATTATCTCCCTCTCAATGCATACCAATTTAAAGGGAGACAGATGAGACCCAGATTTCTTGTTTATCAGCTGATACAGGGGCCTTCTGGGGCTGTGGGCCGTCCCCCTTCTGATCCAAACCATGCTGAATTTTTTCTGCTTGACACTGCTTCACCTGCTAGATGTCCAGTGACAGATGCAGGAGAAGGCCAGTACACCTTGCAGCATTTTTCATGCTAACTGGTGATTTTTGAAGCCTAAGCTGAAACTGTGTTCAGGTTTGTCCTCTATTTTCTACTTGAACAAGCTGAGCTGTGTGCCAGAGCTTCTCCCAAAGCACCGTGGTGGTGTGAAGGGAGGCGGGCTGCGTGCTCTGCGCATCGAGTGAGCTGTCAGCTACCGTTTTGTCAAGACCAAGCTGTTTTCAAAATAAAATCGTCTGGCTGGGGTTATCTGCAGAGCAAGTCTCGGCCCCTTTCTGCTCAGGTTGCCGAGATGAATTAAGCTGTGCGTCCTGGCACAGCTCGGCTGGAAACCAGAGGGGGTTGCTGAGCATGATTCTGCCCCCGCTTCTGCATCCTGCTCTCTTCTTGGTGCTGCGCAGAGCAGGAGCGTTAACTTATTCAGGCTGCTACAGCCTCTCGCGTGGTTCCTGGGCGCAGCATCTCCAGCAGGGAGTTGGGGCCAGGCTGCGTTGTGGTAGAGAGTTCCTCGGGGCCGTTACTGGGAAGGAGAAAAGCACGTTTCTGGGCTTACCTATTTCTGATGCCCACTATGTCCAGAGACCCTCCTTCCTTCCCTCTTCCTCTGAGTCGCGTTGCTGTTGAACCCTCTGGAGATGAGGGCGAGGAAAGTCTACCTGGTTTTGCTTCTGAGCTTGCTGGGCACAGCCGACATAGCTGTGAGGTGCCACAGAGTGCCCAGCTGAAGCCACTGGCAGAGGCAAGCAACCCTTTAAAGCCTCGCCTGATGTTTTGCTAGGCACTTTTTTTACAGCACGGGGACTCCAGTAGTTTGTGGTTGTAGCTCTGACATATAGAGCTGCTTTTAACGGGAAATTCAACTTCATAATTCAGATTTGAAATTCTTTGTGTTTTGATCCATCTCTCAGCAGCCTACCTCCCCGACGACCCCTAACAAGCCAGTAGTGCCACTGGAGTGGGCATCTGCAGTGGTACCAAAACCTGACCCTACAGTCATTAACAAGCACATACGAAAGCTGGTGGACGTAAGTATTTGGAAGAATATACTGGTCAAAGAGAACAATAGCTTTGATATTGTCATCCTTGTAATTAATTTCAAGCTTTTCAAGAGATTGTTATGGTTGGGATGAATTCAGACATCTGATAACAAATTTGAGCCTTCACTGATACATTCAGAAATATTTATTTTATTCCTGCAATCAGTGGGATTAGTAAGCAGGTTTCCGGATGCAAAGGAGAAAACTTTCAGGAGCATCGAAAGCTTGGCTGCCATTCAATAGGTTTGATTTGCAAATATAAATTCAAAGGGCAAAGTTGAGTTTTTGCAACTCTAGCCACCCAGTTTATGTCTGGTTACGGACAGCTGAAAACAAAAATACTTAGAAACAAGGACTCACACATTACTAGGTGCAGAGAAGTTTTACGGAAATGCCATTTCTGTTTTTCAACTGCTGTCATTTGACCGTCCAGACCATATTATGTATGGTAAAGATAGCACTGTCTTGGTATCACTTTAAAAGTGTGGGCATGAGGTCATTAGGAGAATTATAGCTGGGATCTTCCAGCTTCAGTTTGGAAGGTGATGTGTTAGGCAATGCAAACAAAACCAAACTTTGCCAGGTTCCTTTGGAGAGACCGAGCCCTGTCGTGTTGGTGTGTAAGGGACTTTTTAGTGATGTGAGCAGCATGCAGAGGACCCAGGAACGTGTTGTAGATAATGAAGCAAGATTTTTCTTCTGCTTTTTACAAATTAATAACTAAGCCTGGGAGAAACTATTAAATTCTGACCTCGCCTGTGTTGCAGGTCATTAATTGGGGTTATGTTGTTAAGATACCTTAAAGTCTTCAGTTCTCTCACTTAGACTTCAAATATATCTTGTGGTTTACTTTTTGTACATGCTCTTTTTTAAAAAAAGTTTCAGTTTTCTCTTAATGTGGGATACCAGAGCTGTTCCTGTATTGCTTTTGTCAGTGCCATATGTGTTGATAAAAATCACTCCACATCCAAACCTCTCTTTGATAGCTTGTTTAAATAGGAAGTTTGTCGCAACTCCTTAATCTTTCCAGAATGTGCTGGGTGGGGGTGGGTTCTTGTTCCTGGGGGTGGGGGAGATGCAGTCCCCCTCTTCCACAATTTTGGCCTGGTTCATGACATACAAACTTGAGTTTGACAAGATTAAAACATGGTTTGGGGCTGTTATAGATACAGCTTACCAAGATGCCCACACCACTCTGCAGACCTGGCTTCGTTTTGCCAATCTCTGTCAATTTACTAGCTGCTTTGTGTTGTGCTTTAAGGCATTGTTTTTATTACTAAAAGTGTTGAATACTACTTGGGTTTGTGTATTGGTTCCTTCTTGACGATGTGTTTTTGAGGTCTGCCAGTCATTGATTGCAGGTCATTTGATAGGTGCTTAGAAATTGGCTTTATCAGCTTCTCATTAAAATAAAGACAATGCAAACACCTTTCAGAGGTTGCAGTATATTAAATTCTTGTCTTTGCCAACCAAATCTTAATCTAATGAGAGAGTTTGTGCTTCAATTTGTGTCTTTCAGATAGTCATGTTGACTTTGACACTCATGTTTTTCCCATCAGCATCACACATAGCTTTAACACCCCTTGCACATCTCTGCAATCAGTAAGACAGAATGTAATAATTCCTTAGCAGCTAAGGAGGGCTTCCATCACTTTATGCAACCTTTTAAATTTGATCCCGTGTCTGTTTTTACTTAGTGGTGAGCTGGAGTGGGTTGATGGGAGGGAATGGTTATTAGATATGAAGTGCTCAGGATCTGGATGTCAAAGTATTAGTAAACAAATCAGATTGAAGCTGTACTGTGGCAGAGCAGAAGTGACCAACTCAAAGAGAAGCCAAAACCACCTGAAATACTCCTGGGAAAGCTGCCGTTAGGTTAGTTTTGTTTTATTTCTTTTTTTGTGATGAAAAAGCATACTTAATGAAGCAAAGGGAATATGTCATATGGGACAGAATTTTAGTGACATTTCCAATAAAGAAGAAAAATAAAGTAAGAATAATTATGTCTGAAGAGATGTGGAGGACCATCATTAGATAAATACTGAGTTCAAGTTTTCATTAAAAATTAGCTATTTTTTCCCCCACAGTCCAATAAATATGCATATTGAAGTACCAAGTAGAAATAAAAGGAATAAAACAAGGCAGCAGAACATCTGATTAGTAATGTTGAACATGAAGTTATATGTAATTATAAAGTTGAAGAGCCAGTATATATTCAGGATAGGCTAGATATTAGGACAATAATTTCTTTTGTTTTCCCAGTCTGTCTTTAGGAACTACGATCATGACCACGACGGCTATATTTCTCAGGAAGACTTCGAAAGTATAGCTGCCAACTTCCCCTTTCTGGACTCTTTCTGTGTGCTGGACAAAGACCAGTAAGTTCAGAGATTTCTTTGTCTTGTTTTGTTTTGTTTTTTTCTTTTCCTCAATTTAAAAACTAATGAAAACCAAATATTGAAGAAAGCATCTCCCAAGTTTCTTGTGTCTGACATCTCACTTAAGGGACTGAAGATCACCAAAGGCTGAATTCTGTTCTCATTTAATTTCTTATGCTGTAGTTGGTTCTATAAGCCCACCCAGGTTGGAGTCCTGCTTTACCTGGTTCTTCAAAAACGATTTATGTAATAGCCTGATGAGGAACTCCTGCTCGGACTGAGTCAAAACCTCTAGAGTATCATCAATGCTGTATCCAGACCAGGCATTAGACTGATGAAACAAATAAGCTGTGTACGGTACAGGGGAAATGAGTGTATGTAGCAGAGAGAGGGTAACAAATATTCTAGAAGGTATATATAATACATGTTTCCTAGCCAGCTGGGCTTGATAATACTTGTTGTCCAGAATCTCTTTGGCTGTCAAGGCTGGTGGTCAGCCAGGGGCATAACAGCTTGATCTGTATGAGCAGTAAATCAAAATCCTTCATTTAATGGCCTGGCCTGTGCCCTGATACCATGAACAGGTGAGAAACCAATGTCCATGCAATAAGTTCAGTGTTTGCTATTTAATGAAGGATAAAGAACCATGAAGGCTCTAAGGGTTTTTTTCTGCCAGGACTGTTGCAGCTCTTTCAAAGAATGTGCTTTGTGTGCTGCATGCTTTTTGCAGTGAGAAAATCCTGAATTGTTCAATGTCGTGAGCGGTGACAGATCTACTCTACCTTTTTTTCCCTTAACAGAGATGGTCTTATAAGCAAAGAAGAAATGATGGCTTACTTTCTGAGAGCTAAATCACAGTTCCAGTGTAAAATGGGACCAGGGTTTATTCATAACTTTCAGGAGATGACCTATCTTAAACCAACTTTCTGTGAGCACTGTGCAGGATTTGTAAGTATGTTCTTAATAACAGTGTATCTTAAACACATTTTTTTTACCCTTTAACGTAGAGAGGGTGAAACTAGCTCCACACACTGATAAAGTCTCTTGGCCAAATCTCTCATTGCAGTCAGAAGCACAAAATATTTACTCGTGTTGTAGCTTTGCTATTCAGTTTTGTTTTAGTGGTTCCTGAATACTGGCATTTGTAAGAATTACTGTTGCAGGAGGGGAAAAAATAAAATTATGTTAGCTAAAGGATATTAGAGAGTATATGAATGGCTTTACTTGGTTTATCTTAAGTTCTTTAATTTGGCATGATTTCCCATGTAAACAAGCTCAAGGAAAAATGGGTGTCTGGAACGGAGGATGTAGATGAAGCAAAAGCCGTTCTTTCTCAGGAAATTGCACATGGAAACACAGCATGTTCATAATTCTCTGAATGGCCATAACAGCCTTAATCCTTTCTCTATTGAATTAACAGCTCTTCTAATATGGTCTAGAAATCAAAAGTACTTCCAGCAGTTCTGTACAATAAGAATTTTTTAAATTTATTTGGGTCTTTGTTTTTTTTTTTTAATTTGCTTTCTCTGTCAGCCATAACCTACCAGATGCCACTTATTAGAGTGCTCTGTATGTAGCTGGGAAATTATTTGTATTGTGAAAATTTGTGTTGCCTGTAGACCTCTTCCAACTTTTCCACTTCAAGTATAGTAAAGAAAAAAGAATTACTATGATTTAGAAGTTACTATAATGCACACACTCCACTGAAATCAAACGTCCATTTAGACAGCTAAAGCAATAAGGGCAGAGGGCCACGTCCTCTGCTTACGTGTGGCCCGTGTACAGGGTGTAAACTCAGACCATCGTCCCTGCTCTCCAGCGCAGATCTGCCTCTGCTATCGGCGGCAAAATCTCCAGCCTGTACTACGTGAACTTTTCCACTAACTAATATTTTTTTGTGGTTGAAAGTAACAATAACAGCACTGCTAAGTGCAAAAACCTGCCTCCTTTCAGACCAGCTGTGGTGTTCCTGCTCTTGTCCATACTCTCATCTTCCTCTTCCTTCTTTTGCGACGCATCGGTCTTGTTCAGGTGCTCGTGGTCCCTATTGCATTGCAACCCCTGATCAAGGTCACGGCGAAGAAAGAATTCCACCTATTTCTGCTAGAACTGAAAAAACCTCAGAGTGATGTGGTCAGTGCTGATTCAGGAGCGTGCTGGTGGGCTCTTGAGCTGACAGCTCCACCACGGTGAAGAAAGAATTCCACCTATTTCCGCTAGAACTGAAAAAACCTCAGAGCGACGACGTGGTCAGTGCTGATTCAGGAACGTGCTGGTGGGCTCTTGAGCTGACAGCTCCAGCAGACTGATGGGGCAGGGGGGGTCACTGGCCTAAGCCTATTGTTTCAGGCTGCCTGCAGCTTTGGGAAGACGTCATTGTGCTCGTGACACTCAGTGCAAGTTTGGAAGGCTTCCATAGCAAAGCAAGGCCCAAGGACTGCCTTGCCATGTCCTTTCTACCAGATATTTTTCTCCTGCATCAATTTGCTAATTGGCCATTGTTGGATTTTTCACGTCTGTCTGATTACATCCAGTGCAGGAATACAAATGAGTAAGGGGTTGTACAGGAAATGGAAATAAGGTCATTCTTCCTGTCAACTCACTGAAGTCATTAGCATTGTCCTGTGGATGAGTTGGGCTGATAGAACAGGAACCAGCTACAAAATCTGCTGCGTATTTGTTTCCATTTCAGTGCTGCTCATCCACGGGTGGAAACCTAATTTCATACTGATGCACTGATTCACAGTCAAAATAATGTGCACTGACAGTGCAGTAGGATGAATTGACATGACAGTGCAATGCACGCAGTATTCAGTAAAATATCTGTTATTAAAAGGATATGAACTTTAAAGGTCAAGCTAAAACCTAATGGCATTAAGCAGCATGAAATTGATACGCCCATGGCCGGTCACAGTTCCATCCCACAGCTTGAGTCGCACCGTGTGGCAGGGTAGGTGACAAGCCATCCCGCTGAGCTTTATCATCTGAATTTGCACAGATCTTCTTACCCTGGAGCTGGCTCAAGCCAGCTTTGCAGCAGAGCCGTGTCAGACAGGTTCAAAGCTTTAGGTCAGAAATTCATGACACGGCACTTCAGCTAAGCTTTCGCTGTTGTGTGTAACCACAACAGTGGTGCCAAATTTGAGTAGGAGGAAGGTAAAGAGCTAAGAAGATGAGAAGAAAGCTCTGCAGTGGGAACAGAATAGAGCTTAAATGAAAGCAATAACAATCTATGTCTCTTACAGTGATCCTGGCAAAAAGCCCTTGGAAAAAAGTCATTGCTGCTTTTCCAGGAGGGGCTGGGGGGGCTCCACTGTCACTGCCTGACCACAGCAACTGCGTTTGCTGTGCATATATATACAGCATTAGCAGGAAAAGAGCAAGCAGCAGGCTTTCTATGGACCCTTCTTCCACTGTTGCCCCTTCTGTTCTTTTATTCACCCTTCTTCCACCTTATCTAATCTATTTTGCTTTATCCAAGTCCCCATTTTTCCTTGCAAATTCTTTTGTGCAGTGTATGGGATTTCCCCCCCCCCCAGAATCTTCCTATTCTGTTTTATATTTTACTCTTTCCTTTGCATTCTGAATGTTCTCCGGGTCTTCTTTTTGAACACTTCTTTAATAACCATATTCACTCCCTGCACTCTGCACATGGATTCTTATAAATACGGTGAGGAGCCGCATGCAGTTTCAACTGCCTGGATGTGCTCACCCTCCCTGGTAACGTTTCAAATGAGTTCAGGATAAATAAACACTGGAGTCACCGATTTTTTTTTTTTTTCCTTTAATGCTAGAGGTAGAAAAACTGCCCCTTCCTCTGTCTGCCTCTAGAGTGAAAATGCTTGTTTTTATAATGCCATGGCTGTAGATACAGCACTTCTGAGTGTATAGATAACAATTTGCTAGGGAATTTTCCTACTTCCAAGCAATCCTGCTCATGTTGAAGTGAAAGCTTCCCAAAAGCAGGACCGCACACACAGCCTCCTGGAAGTTTAGCATTTGGTTGTTATGTACATCAACAAGGACAGCTTCTGGGAGGAGGCAAAGATGGAATTTAGTGGCTTTTCTATCTGTTTCAGTCTTCAACCCTTTTTTTTTAAATCAAAGAGTCAGGTGGGTAAACCAGATTGCTATGGCTAGGTGTGCTGGGGACCAGTATGGGAACCAAGAACTTAATTTGTATCCCCAGTGGTGTTTTCTTCTGCTGTGTTTGAATGGCATGGGTCATTCTTGTATCTGGAGAATGGATGTACACCGGAAAATGCCCTGCAGATAACATTAAGTGAGCCTAGAAGCAGAATGTGCTTTGCTGGTTTCAGTAAGCTTGATATGATGGCAATTTTTCACCCGTTCCTGGAAGCAAATGCCTGTCATCTGTGTCTCTCCTTCTCCAGTAGTCCCACTGTAAGTAGTAGAAATCAGGGGGAAGGCACACAAGTCTTATCACAATTAGAGGGGGAGGTCTGCCTAACAGGAAGGGTGTTAAGAGCAGTTGTATCCTGTTTGTGCTTTTGTAGCCATTGGTACTTCCTCATTGTGACCTCGTTTTCCTTCCGGCTTTCTTTTCTGATTCCTTGACGTTCTTTTGTCTTTCTTTGCAGCTCTGGGGTATAATCAAACAAGGCTACAAATGCAAAGGTAAATAAATATTGCATGGATTTTTCAAGCTATATGTGGTGGGGTTTAGCACAAGTAGGTCAACTGTATTTTTTAGTAAAAGGACATCTTGTTCATCCAAATCTTGCTTTTACATTTGGTACTGTCCGTGAGCAGTGACTACTGGTACACTATGAATTCTCACTGCATTAGGGGACATAGCACCCAGTAGGAACACGCAGGTTCTGTGAGCTAAAGGGCCAAAGCAGCCACTGACTCCATGAGGTGTTACTTTCTACCAGCAAAGACCTTGCATCTTGGAAAACCAAGTGTCCTCATCCTAACACCAAAACATCCTGAAATACATCTCCTGAGATCTGGGGTCAGGAAAAGGTTTGCTGGCAATGCTGTCTGTCATGTACATCCGCATGCCTGTAGTGAAGCCTACTTGGCCTTGCAATGCAAAAGTGTCTGAGCTAGAAATAGAGAGTGAGTTAATTCCTAAACTGCCCAGCAGATCTCACTGTGAGATCTTCTGCAGACATTCAACTTCAAAAAAAAATCCTAGAGCTCTTACAGCCCTCTCTGTTGCTTTCATAAAACGTTTAAATTCTTATGCAGTACTTGCACCATATTGAGCAGGTCAGACCAAGAATGACATTGTAATGGTCCTCATTGGCTTTAAAGTCCTAGATCTATTTATTTCTCAAGCAGCCTGGCTCTGGCTGAAGGGCACTGTTGATTTTCACAGTTGGAGTTAAATTATTCATAGGGGAACATTCACGCTGAGGCTTCATAGTTGTATTTATATGCACACTTTTCCCTTAGTCCTACACTGCCTCTCAGGACAAAGGTGAAGAATTGGCAGGATTGGTTTTTAGGTTACACCATATTCCCGTCTCCCTCTCCACCCATGAACATCTCTTCCTCTGAGAGGGGTGAGGAAAATGTCCATGGCTAAACCAACGTATGTAATTCAGCTGTTCCTGATTACTGTCATCTGAGCAGCTATGAAAGGGCTAGTTGTGGTCTCTACTTTTACTGGTATGATGAGGGAAGGAAGATAGGGTTTTGTCACAGCAGCCCTGTAAACTCAACTTGAGATCTGAAAGCTGAGCCCTGTCCTGCATTGTCGCTTGTATCAGTGGCCCAGGGGAGAAAGAGCAGAAGTGGTTCTGCAGTGTCAAAATTATAGGCAATAGAGCACGAGAGTAAGAGAGCAGAGCTGCTCGCTCAGATCTTAAAGTGGCCAACAAGTGTAATTAGTGCCTGCCCTTCGTTGCAGCAGCTGCCAGCTGCTCCGTATGCCAGCATCACTAGAAATGATCCATGATGGATGATTTCTGCCTCTCAGCACAGAGCTGTCATCTTCTGTTTTGAACCTCTGACACTGAGCTAGCAGGGGGAGGGAGTGAGTTCATCTGTTCAGGTCTGCCCTTACCTAAAACACAAGGCTCTGGCAGTGGCTCACCTAGAACAAAACATTAAGTCATGGAGCAGCAACAGAGAAACAAGGGAGATGGAAATTTTCAAACAAGGGCAGGGGACACAGAGGAGAGAGAGCCCGTGTTTGGGGCACACATCCTCCACCCTTTGGCCCTTTCTTGCAGATAAGATCTGTAGTGCAGTCACACTTCAGATAAGTGTACCTAGTGGTGACTCTGCAGTGAGATGCAAAGCTCAGCATTGGCTAGGTGTGCGGGCACTCGGCCAGTTTCATCCAGGTGGATACTTCAGATGATAAGTGTACCTAGTGGTGACTCTGTCTGCAGTGAGATGCAAAGCTCAGCATTGGCTAGGTGTGCGGGCACTCGGCCAGTTTCATCCAGGTGGATGATACACATCCACAGAGCTTAGTCTGTGCTGCTGTTGCTTGCTGAGCTACTTTTAGACTAGTTTTTACACTAACCTCCAGCTGTGCTTCCAGAGGCTCAGAGTATGGATGCGCCAGTGTCTATAATGGGCCCTGCTGGGTCAAATTAAAAACAAACTTTTTGGGGGGGACTCATACAGTGGAGCAGAAACTTTATGCATGGCATACACAGGATCATACCAGTAATTCCAGGGCTGTTCTTTGAGACTAATTTCTGATGAAAATATCACCCCCTTTTTCCATTCTGCTGCCAGATTTCTATTAATGGCTGCCACGGAAATGACCCATTTTTTTGTAACATCCCTCACAGCAAATGATCTATTTCTGTAACTCCCTTCACACCTTCTGTCAAAGTATTTGTTCCTTCAAAGTTCCTCCTGGTATCTGTCTGCTAATAGCCCTGAGAGATTACCAGATAGTTGCAGCTTTCCATTTGGTGACTTGACAATTGCTTTCGTTACAGATTGCGGTGCCAACTGTCATAAGCAATGCAGAGACCTGCTTGTGCTGGCCTGCAGGAAATTTTCCAGAGGAACCTCAGTAGGCAGCAACCATGGCTCTCTGCCGAGCAGTCCGTCTCTGCCTCCAGGTGAGAGCACTTGTGTTCCTATTTTAAACCCTTTCTGGAATTCTCTCTAGCAGCCAGAGTCCTTGCTGCCATTTTTAAATTTTCCTTTGTATCAACGCACAGAGCAGCACACGTACTTTCCACTGCACTGTGGCTAATGTTCAGTGCTCGGATTATGACATCCCTTTCTGCAGTGATGGCCTTAGTTTCCTGCCTGAGGCTCCCTATCCTCTACACTGGCACTTCTATCCCAGCTGAAAATAAATAAAATTATAATTAGGGAAATTGTACTTCTCCTTATAAGCCACTTAGGGGCAGGGGCTGGGAGATGTAGGGCACAATTCTAGCTCTGCCTAATCCCCTGAGCGTGAGATGGAGGGAGAAGGAAATGTGTGCACACAAGGCTGGAATCCTTTTCTAAGCAGCATCTGGATATTGCTAATTATACCACTGCTTCATATAGAGGGTTACCTCTCCCCCGCCCCAGCCTTAAGTTACCTTTTTGTAAAGATCTTGGAAGTAGAATATTTAAAATAAACAATTCCACCCTCTCTTTCAGTCCAAGATGAAGTATTTGAATTTCCCAGTGTTGCTGCAGAACACCAGGACCTGGATGGCAGAGCTATCACCCTTGTCACTGGCTCTTCTCGGAAAATTTCGGTGCGGCTGCAGAGGGCGACCACCAGCCAAGCAACGCAGACAGAACCGCTGTGGCATGAGCCAGGCTGGAATGATTCAGGTTCCCATACTTTCCCCAAAATGAAGTCCAAGTTCCATGGCAAAGCTGGGAAGAACAAAGGCTTTGCAAAGTGGGAGAATGAAAAGCCCAACGTGCAGGCTGATATAGAGCTAGAAGCCGAGGCCCCACAACACATACAGGATCACAACGGAATAGAAACCCTCCCAGAAAGACAAGAATCTGAGGTGAGTTGCAGAAGAAGCCAAGACAGTTTAAAATCTGCTAGAGGCTGAGGTCTTATAAGGTTATTTTATGAATTTCAGGATGCTTTTTCATTCAAATTTGCCATTACGTCTTGCACAACAGTTGCTTTCAGAAGAATGCCAAATCCTCCATAGATACCTCTTTTCTACACTGCAGTGCGCATTACTCTAACACTGTAACTGGGGAACTGGGGTTTGTTGCTGTCAGTACATGCTTTTAGGAATTGGGCACTTTTCTTTTTGAAAATCATTAAAATAGCCTGGTGGATGTGACCAAATTCTGTGCTGTTGTAAACTTGCAATGCACAGTCCAGGGCTCCCTGTTAGATTCATAGATACCTATTTTCTACACTGCAGTGCGCATTAACACTGTAACTGGGGAAGTGGGGTTTGTTGCTGTCAGTACATGCTTTTAGGAATTGGGCACTTTTCTTTTTGAAAATCATTAAAATAGCCTGGTGGATGTGACCAAATTTTGTGCTGTTGTACACTTGCAATGCACAGTCCAGGGCTCCCTGTTAGATTCACAAGAACTAGCATTCTGATAAACACACGAGCCCAGGCTAGGGCAGGATATCGGTCTGATTTCTGTTGCTGTCACCCATAAAGTTAATACTTCCAAAGTTTCATGCCTTTATTGACCATCTTTGCTAGCGTGTAACTGCGTGCCTGTTTTCTTTTGGTTACAGGATAGCTGATTGCTCACCCTGTAGCACGGAAAAATGAAGATGACAACTGTCATACAACAAGCCTCGATGGTCCGTCACAGACCACGTTTGGCCATGGGAAGTTTTCCTGTACCTCGTACTTTTAAATTCAACCATTGCCCTGTTTTCTTAGCTGAAAGGTGTTGCAAAGCACTATTTATTTTCTCACAAGCTGTTTGGATGAACATTGCACGGACCCAGCAGAACGGATCTCTGCACTCAGTGTTTTCTCTTGTATGACTTTTGTGGAAACTTCGTCTGCATGCCAGTGAGGATATATTTGGCCTCCTTTAAATATACTGCATCACTTTGGTATGTCTGCCAGCAACAACAATGGTGAGGACAGAAGCCAAGCATCTAAGTTTGTTCGATAGCACTCCTTTTCCAATGTCTCATAATGATCTTTTAAGGAAAGAAGTAGGTGTGTATGTTGATTAAATCTCAAAACAAAAACCTTTCACAAAGTCCCCTCTGCTGAAATTCTTTGCACACCTGGGGTTTTGAATTTTGGCCATGTTTACATTGCTACAGTGAGCATACTGGTGTTCAGCACAGTGATACCAGTTCCCAGACTGAGGATCCTTCAACCAGGCAGCACGTGGCTGAGACTGAAGGAATTCCAAGACACTATGCATATGTCTGGTTACACTGCAATGGAGAGGGGTCCTCTCTGCCAGCGCTGATTATGGAAAAGTTAGCATGTAATAAACACCTTAGTTTTAAGTATGTGTGTGCATGTGATATGTTTTTCTCTGGTTAGCAGCCTGCATATGTTAAAACTAAATGTACTGAAAAGTAACCTCCAAATTAGCAATTTGCACCGGAATCTGGAATCTGTAATTAGCAGTAATGCACCTGAGAAGCAGGTTTGAAGTGGCATTTCTCAAAAGCATTAATTTACGTAAGGAGCACAGCCCTCATCTGGAAAAAAAGAGAGAAAAACAAAACAGCACAAAGCTCAAACCTGAAAGGTGCGTTCCAAATTGGCATACTTGTATTATTATTCTTACCCCCATCTCCCCACAAAAATAGGTGAGTAGGGGGAGCACACACTCTGAATTAAAGCAACCTGATTATAAGATTTCCTGCAAAATTCAAGTTATTGCACCCTTCACCAAGTTATAAGCCCTCAAGACCAGCGAGTACTTTCATACTCGAGAAAAAAAAGAGAACATGCTCTTACTGTTTTAAACTCAGAGAAATAAGCACTGCAGGGAGCACTGATTTCCAAGCTAGGATGAGGGCCAGAAGCATCCCTCACTATTGCTGCTGCGGGCAAAGAACAGGCATTAGCAAAACCATGGTCTTTTATTTCCTGTGGTGGGTCAGGTGACAGGTCACAACAGGCTGACCGCACAGCTACCGTTACACTGCATGGCTTCCACACAATGAAAACGATGTGGGAGAGAATTTGAATAGAGAAATTTGGTTATGATCCAGGCTGTTGATGGATCTGCTGTGATAAGCCTTTTAATGCTTTATAAATGAATTGTTCATGTGCAACTTCATTCTTAATATCACATAAGAGTTTTAAATAGCATTTAATCTGTAGATCAGCCTATTTCTTGCAGGCTTTTAAAAGTTAGTTGTAACTCTTCCTCTGAAAGGTATCTGCCTTCGTATTTCTAGCAATCAGGCCCACAAAGCATACCCATCTTCATTTTGTTGTTGGATAAGAGTGTTTCTCATATCTACGTTTATCTTCTCACTTACCTGCTCCCCAAGATACTTACAAGCTTCTTGCCTAAACTGTTTAGAAGGGTAGGTGCTCTATGTTCTTCACATGAAGGCCCCTTGCCAAGGACATATTTTTTTTTTCCCCCCATGTATACGGAATAAACTTAAGATAAGCAATACAACAACAATAAAAAGCATTAATAGGCTGTTTGCAGCAGAACAGTGATCTTCTAGTTCCACAGCAAGCACCTGAGTGGGGAGAGCTGACAAGGTGTGAGGAACCATTTTAAGAAGTTGGCATAGGATCAGCTCTTTACCTTGGAAGAGGCCTGAATACATGAAATTTAAAAAAAAAAAAATCTTTTTCTGAACAGGAGCAAGACAATTTTAGTTCCCCAATCTGGGCAAAGCAACACAGAATTTCTTGTTCGCCTCCCCTGACATAACAAAAGGCAAAACATACCAGCCATCACAGTTCCCGCCGGAGCTGCGTGCCTCTGCTGGTCTTAGTGAAATCCTGCCTGCTAGAAGTAGAGCAATTCCAGGAGAGCATCCAGGAGTAAGTGTTATAATGACAAGAGCACTGGATTAATTAAATAGCTGAAGTGAGATACAATCCCAGATGATGCTGGATATTTCTACCACATCCATTCGTCCCTGTCTCAGTCCTCAGGATCTCGTAAGAAAGTGGGGGGAGAAGGGAGGTGTTTTTAAAAGAAACAAACAAAACACCAATCCCACACCACTCCCCCAAAAAAACCAACCACCACCACACAGTGGAAAGAAGGAAGAACACACTAAACCTTATTTACAGCCTGATCCGCAAATGCCAAAGAATGTAAGCAACAGGAGTAGGTGAAAAATGCGAGTGCTTGCATAGACCCTGTAAGAGATGACGTGGCTGTTTGAGCCAAACCCACTAGGACTTTCTGTGCTTGTGCAAAACCTGCACAAAGTGTCATGCTGCACATGAAGGCTCTTCGACCTTGCTGCCAACTTTACGTAGTAGCCCTGAGTGCAACACAAGGAGACAAGGGGACATCTGTCTCCTTCAGAGCGACATGAAAACTAGGTTTGTCCTGCAGGTCTTTCCTCTGCTCTACATCTCCTCACAGTCTTACCCTCCTCTGCCCCCTTGGTCTTACCTAGCTTTTGGGCTTTAAAAGAATAATCTCAGCTCTACAAAGAAACATTTTCCTAGACACAAGCTATCTTCTCAGAGGAGCCTTCCTCAGGCAGGTGAAGTCTAAGGAAGGGGAGGTGGGGGGGACGGGACAATAACAAACACACTGACCAGAGCCAGTCTGAAGCATGGATTTTTCCCCAGCTGGGAAAGGTGAGCCTTTTTCTTTTTAATACAGAAGAAGATAAAAAGCTGAGCTGCAGAGCAAGTTTAGGGGCAGCTGCTGCCTAAAATTTTCCATTCTCCAAAACAGAGTGGATTGGCTGCTGTCACCTCTGTGGACTGTTGTTCTGGGACTCTGTGGAAGCCAAAGTGAAAGCATGCCCTAACACAGCCCCCAAGGTCTTCCTAATGGGGAGCCTGCAAGCCTTTGGCTGAGCCAGCCCGAGCAGCCACAGGAGGGTCCTCGCAGCCTGGGACACCAGTTCCAGAAGCTTTCGGCATCTGTATAGGAAATAGTTGCATGTGAAGGATGCTGGACACAGGAGAAGAGAAACTAACAAAAACAACAAAAACTCCATATAACAAAAAAACAAAAAAATCCTGAGAACAAATAACAGACAGATGGGGAGTAAGCGTGGGAAGAAGCATGCTAAGAGCGCTCTCCCTCTCTACGTGACACCAAGAATGGAAGTGGATCCCAATGGAGACTGAGCAGAGGGGGAGGGAAAGAAGGAAGGAAGGAAGGAAGGAAGGAGATCTGAATGCAGATTTCATGGAGACACAAGAGGCAGGAGAAACAACGGCTTGTTTCATGATCATTGTAGCTAAAAAAAAAATCTAACCCAGGTTTGCTTCATTCAGCATCAGCCTGCTAACTGATGGGCCTCTGCGCAGCACAAAAAAGAGCTCCAACTACTTTTCAGCAGTCTTGACAACAGGGTTGGCCCAGCCCGGGGACACTGGAGAAACAGATGTAACTTTGGAACAAGTTTTTTGGAGTTATCAGCACTAATCTGAACTGGATTTTCAAAATAAGCCCTGCAGCCAACAGGCTAAACTCATTGGAAAATCTGTGTGCTGAACTCTAAAGCACTGTTTACAGTTGCCGACAATCCGGTCCTAGGAGACAGAAAAGCCATCAGCAAAAGCTACTGCTGGGGCAATATGAAATTTAGCCAAAAAGTCTGCTTTTTCCATGAGTTAAGCCAATGCCGGAAAGTTTAAAGAGTTCTTATCACCTTCATCTCTGCTTTATGTGTGAAAACGAGTTATGACCTTCCACCTGCCCACAGCACAGGCAGACTCCCTCTTTCTTTGGTTTTTACAATAGTGTTTTCCTACTTTTTGTACTTGTTTTTCTCTCCTCTGTGGTGGGAAAGACCCACGTGGACAAGAGGGGAAATTACTGGACAATAAAGGGGAAACAATGACACTGACAGCACTCAGAGCTGTAAAAAGCACAAGGTAAACACAAGAGAAATATTTTTTCCCTCCTAGCCTTGTTTGTTAAGCCATTAGAGGTGCAACTTATTTTCAGCCAAAGAGGGGAGAAGGCAATGTTTACAGCTGGTAATAGCACTTGTTTTTTCAGTTTGTGTCCCTTTGAAAAGGCATAACCTGAAACAAACAAGCACACGAGTGTTTTGAGAGCCTGCACAGGGGAAACAGACGTTCACATCCACCTCAGTGTACTGCTCTCTGATCACAACGCTGGTGTGATTCTAACCTATGGTTAAGCTAGGAGGCTGATGAGCTGGCTGATGCTAAACTGCAAGCTTGCTTTGTTTGGGACTGCTAAATCACACTCAACACCTTAAAAATGCATACATACTTCTGTAGCATTCCTAGAAAATCAGAAATTCAGAGAGGAAGCAGGATTACAAGCCTGATGGTCTTTAGCACCAATAACCACCGAGACTCTCTACTGCAGTCCTAAATAGGGTAGAACTAAGGATAAATCACGTGCAATGAGCAGACAGTTGAGGGCTTTTCTGTCCTGGCCTTCAGCAACTTGACAGGGAGCTGAAATAACTCCTAGTACTCTAAGAACCCACATGAGCCTTTTGGACACCCAAAAGAGTCATCAGATCTTAGTGAGAATCCTCTTGCTCCCCATTCAGCTCTCCCCACTTCAGCACAGTTTAATTTTTATTTCCCAAGTGCATAACCCATTACAGGGAATATTCTTATGCCATAGGACTTCTCAAACTCCAGCCACTTCTCATAACTATCTA